GCAATATGCCCAAGAAGAAGAGGAGCAGGAGCACAAGCGGGGTCAGCAGGAACCGAAACAGGAGCAGGGTCAGGGTGTGAGTCCATTCACAGGTGATATGGGCTCGGGGTCAGTCGATCGATTGTTTTTGGCGGGCAACAAAAATAAATAAACGAAATGCACAAATCATTTAATCAAACAAGCATTTATTCGCCAGGACTACCGTTTGTCTGCGTCTAGACGCACAATGGACTTTATGAAATTCCATGAAATTGCACAGGAGTGCGAGAGTGCGAGTGTACTTGGACGGTAGATACCCTGTCTGGGGTACAAAGCAGATCCACCTAGCTTTTAATAACATCGGTTTTCATTAAGATTTTTTTCCAAAATTAATAATAAACGCGATCTGCTGAAGAAAACCTAGCTGCATAACAAGTATATAGCTCTTATAATCTTCGATATGTTTGATGAGAATCGATAAATAAAACTCCGCCTTAGCATGAATGAAATTAGAGTACAACTTTCGACTGTTCAGACAGTTAAGACAAGTCGGGCATGCTATGCCCTTGAACCCATTTGGATACAAATTTTGAATAGGCGCTGGGTATAAATTGAAATGTCAGACCAAGAACTTATGATTAATCATTAAAACTGGAGCAAGTCGTCGGAGCAGCAGCAGCAGCAGCATCGGCAGCTGTGTGCTAATCTTATCAAGAGAACCATAATTTGTCGTGTGCAGTTTGTTATTTATTTATTTCATTCGTTAAGAGCGACACAGGGGCCCAAGCTGCAGAGCTGTATCTTATCTGTGTACAGGACCAACTGGCAGACAGCAAGCCGCATGCCAAAGTGCCAGAACACCGATTAAAGGTTAATTGCCAGCCTCTTTGACTATGCGCCTCTTCGAGGGTGCCCCCCTCCGTTGTTCTACATCTAATTACAAGAGGCGCAGCATGCGCAGCTCGAGATAAGCATATAGAGTACTAGAAATATGGCACACACCACTTGCCGATAGAAAAGTAGTCGGCGTCGGAGTCGTCCTACTCGTCGTCGTCGTCGTCATACTGTCGCCGCGGCATACTTCAGTAGCAAGTAATCCTTGAGCTGCAATTCACTTTTGACGCATTCAGCATTTTTGAGCTGCAGGAATCGCTGAAGCGATCATTCAAGTGCATTTAAATCCTCAGCCGAGTAACAGGAGCTCGCTGTCTAACCGCATCGGGCTAAATGCAACAGCCCGTAAATATTTCAATACCCAACCTTTTTGCCAATTCTCAAGAATGCAGTCAAGCGTGATTTTCCCAATGGAACGGGTTGCGGTAATTACGCCAAATGTATTTTCGACAAAAAAAAAAAAAAGAGTACAAATATCAGCATTACCATCGACACGATCATTATCAATACGATTGAGCAGGAAATCAACGCTTGACACACAAATCATCATCAGCCACGCTAAAGAGCATTGAATTTAAAAGAAAATACCATAAACTGAGCTGGGAGCAAAGAAGATTCCCTAGCCCTGCGATCATTTACAATAGCCAAGAAATTAGCTCAAATATGATATGTGGGCGCACAAAAGTACTTATAGAGATCAATAATAAATTGAATGAACGGTTTTTCAATAGCCTTGCAAACTTGTTCAAAGAGTTGGCTTCTTAGGCAGCCGCGGCTGCAATTCAATGCCTCCTCTTAGAGGAATAGAAATTCGATTTTTTATGCTCTCATATGTATTGCATTTATACATATAAAAAAGTGGCGAAAAGTGGGTGAGAAATTAATTTTGTTTAATATTTCAAAATAAAACATTGGACCGGACATTTCCGGGTTTTAGCCGATGTGTGGCTCTACGCATGTATGTATGCATGTGTGCATGTATATACGCATTTATATTTGCATGTATACATGCAGGTATGTATGTAGGCATGTATGTATGCATGTGTGTATACATGCATGTTTGCATGTATGTATGCATGTATGTACGCACGAATGGATGTATGTATGAATGTGGGGTATTCATGTATGTTTGCATGTTTGTATGCATGTATATACACATGTAAGTATGCATGTACGTTTGCATGTATGCATGCATGCAAATCTGCATGTATGTATGTATGCATGCATGTCCATATGTATGCTTGTATGCTTACTCTCCGTTGCACTGCAAATACCTTAAACGTTGCCCTTCTATGCGATTCTCATGAATTTAAGTAAGCCTCTGCGAATTCCCTGCCTTAATTAAAGGTTTGGCATTAACAAGTTATGTTGGCCATTTTTATCAATCTGCTCATAATCTTATTTTTATTATATCTTTTCTCCTTCTCTCTCACTCTAATTAAGAATATATGTAAACAAAAAATCTACCCACCTGTGTTCTATACTCATACGCAGCTATCTATGTCATTTTAACTGAATTAAGTTGTCAAACTATACAGATTTATAACGATCTATATACGCTCTCCCCTACATTCCACTGACCTTTATATTTAGTATCAGTCTATAACTTAGTAACCACATCATAATGAATACATAGGGATAATTTCCACATAAACCATAAAGCTATATATAAAATACAACTAAATTCTCAGCGAAGCAATCTCGAAAGGGAATCAGAGATGCGTGCACTAATTAAGATCCATCAATGTGAAACCATTTCGAGTGTCCCCTTATCCTTCCACTTCCTCTTCGCCGAGCTCAACCTAAAAAGCAACATGTAAAAATTATGCTAAAAATGAAGCTGTAGCTGAAGCTGAGTTTTGAGTTTAAGTTTAGCGAGTCCTGAAGTTCATTTAGTTGAACATCGGCCGGGTTTCTGCATTTGGGCTAGATGATATATAAGGCGTAACGCAACCAGTTCATTCAACACCTGCAGCGGTGCGACTTCAAAACGCGCGTGCGCACAGTGGCAAAGGTAGCGGTAGGGGTAGCAGTTGGGGTAGGAGTAGGGGTAGGGCTAGCGGCAGGGGACAGCAGTAGCCGGGAAAGGTGCTAGACGACAGGATAGGGGACACGCGGCCGAGCGCGGCGGGCAGGCAGGCAAAGTCATTGATTTCATTTGTGTGTGTGTGTGTGTGTGTGTGTGTGTGTGTCCCTCTTGTGCCACACGCGGCTCATTAATATGTAAGCCTTGGTCCGGCAACGCGACTTCTCTGTCCCTATCCCCGACCCCGTACCCGTTCCCTTTCCGTTGCCGTCGCCGTGTCCCTCACAACTTCTCTGCAAGGTCATTTTGTTCTACAAATTAAAGTGGTTGATTTTTAGTTCATGTAGCTGTCACTGTTGTTAATATACCCTTGCAAAAGGGCATAACCCTCCGATAAAGACACCTTCCAACTTATTGAACTTTCCAACAATTGTTAAATGGATATGTTCTCTATGAACTAGGCTATATTTATAGAATTTATGCTCAATATTAAGGCAATATTTAATGTGCCCGCTAAGGTATTTGTTATTCGGTTTTTCTCTTTGTTTTTTTGTTTTTTTATTTTGTTTTTGTTATTTAATTTCAAATTTTTGTAGTTTTATGTCCCTTTGGCCGGGCTAAAGTTTCGCTTAAATTACCGGCCGCAATCTTTTATGCAAAATTTGCATAATTCCGTCTGCTGTTGCCGCTGATTAAATCCTTTTATGAAGGACCCTTTGCGCGTGCCCACCACTCACCTCTCAGCCCTGCTGCAACGCGCCGGCAACAAGTTTGCGCCCAAAAGCTTATTTTTACCCCGATTTAATCAGTTATTCAAATAGATTTCATTTCATTTTCAATTGTTCGCGTATTAATTTTGCGCATTGTGTTACCCCCTAACGCCCCGACAACCACCCCTCCGTTGCTGCTCGGTGCCATTGTTGCGCCTCACCCTCCTTTGGACTCAATGCAAAATAAAAGTTGCAATTAAATCTGCAGATTTATATTCGGGGTGGGTAGGCAAAAAGACTGACAACATCCAACTAGGCTACGCTGACTGTTGCATGAGCTACGTATAGGATAAAGAATATAACATTAGAGAGGGAGAAAGAGTGAGAGAATGAAAGAAGGAATGAATCTATTAAGTAAAAGAAAATTTTTCACTCAATTTCCACCCGTGCGAGTGGATTTGCATAGGTAAACATCGAAAATTAAGCATGCTGTTTGTAGATATATAGAAAAATGAGTTTCAAACCTCTTAAACTTTAGTGAATTTTTTGATATTCATATTTGTTCATATATTTTTATTAATTTTTTTAATATTTTTTTATATGCAGCAAAATTTATCCACTTGAGTTTTACATGTTCTAGGAAATCGCAATAAAGTGAATGCAAAATCATACAAATGCAGAAAGCTCCCAATACTTGGGTTTGCGTTGTCAGATATTGTACATGTTAGATGATAAATCGATATATCGTATGCGGTTGTATCGTTTACACAGTCGATAATTTCATATAACGTGGAAACTCTCTTCGGCGGACACCGATCGATCACCGATTTTGTCCGCTCAAGAGAAGTGTCTGCCTGTTAGAGAGGGCGATCGATATGAAATGAGCAATATTGTCCGTCCAACAGAACTGTCCGACTAATAGGAGGTGCATTAAAACTGTAGCTAGATTCTCTTCCAATCAATATGCCCCAAAGTTTCGCTCGTAGCGCACAATAAGGACACCAACAAAAGCCCAAACATGAGCTCCTGCCGCCCCGGCAAAAGCCAAGCAGCACCACCAACAGCTAAAACACACCTATACACACGCGCACACACATACGCACACACACATACATGCATGCATAGTCATAGGCATAGCGTCACTAATCCTGTTGGAACTTAATGTGCAGCAGCGTAGGCTGACAAGCGATCAGGATGACGGCGCGCGCGCGCACTCACACACATAGACACACACATACATATGTACGCACACACAGAGAGAGGGAGACGCACATGTATACACACTCGAAAGGACCTCGGGGACATTTGTTGTTGACAAAATGCCACAGCAACAGCAACATAAAACTCCAATAGGGGTTGCTGCTAGTTTGATTGCCAGGACGAGAACGTGAATGTGGCTGTCGCTGAGGATGAGGCGACGGAGGACGACAACGCAGCACTTTGAGCGATTGCAGCAGGAGCAGATGTTTTTCGCGGCTGCCAATGGCCGTTCAGCACGGGACACAGGACACGGGACACGGGACATGGCAACAATGGGCATTAGGCGACGGCAGGCAAGCCCAAGCCGAGGCCCCGAGCCACAACAACAACAACAAAACGAACCCCTCGCCGTGCTTGTTGTTGGCGTCGAACCGGTCGCCGGCTTGTTCCCCTCTGCCATTCGCGTTGTCCTGTAGCGAAATGCAATGCTTTTTGCACCCAAAACTAAATAAAAGCCAAATAGATTCATTTTTGTTGATCTCAGCAGAGATTCGTGAGGGTGAGCCAGAATATTCCATTATACATATAGCCCAGCAAAACTGTCCCGTCAACCCCCAACGCCCATTGGTATGCTGCCCTCTACCTGGCCGCATTTCATACCTTTGCATATATTCGCCGCGCGCACGTGTCCCGCACCCTGTATACTGTTGAATGCGCTTGGAAAATTTCAATTTGAAATTTTCGCTTTTCATTGTTCTCGGCAGAAACTGGACGCGGATCTGTTTCCACACGAACGCACACTTTCGGCGCATGCCGCTTACAATTTACCAACGAAGGCACAAATGAAAACAAAAAAAAACATCTCAGGAGAAGTATGCAAAATTCCAGCATAGGAACAGTCGAATTATGATGACAAGAAGAAGCAAAATATATTATTATATGAAGACTCGGCCATAATTGAGTAAGTCCTCATAAGATGCGCTGTGAGTAACAAAAGGGGACTATCGATTAAGAGGGAAATCGAAAATGAACGTTTATCGATTGAGAGGGATAAGTCGAGTATCGACTAATATCGATCAGAAAGCAAGTGGAATCAAGTTAACGAAATTTGTATAAAATAAGAGTTATAGCATCAAGGAATCCTGCGAAGAAAACGAAGCAACGAACTTGATCGATTTAAAGGCAAATATTGAGTTTCACTTTTATCAGAAGGGAAAAGGTATAATTTATCGATATCGATTGATTTAGTTTAAGAGTTACATAAAAAACTCTTAATATCAAAACTGAAGTTAGCTTCAAGGAATCATAAAAAGAAAAATAGTTGTACTTTCTATAAACAAGGAGACAATCCCAAAAATGACTTTCATCGATAATTAAAAGAGAAATGGACAATCGACTCTTGTCGATTAATGGGCAAACTATTAAAAGTTATCGATTATATGTATTAAATAAGAAGTTTAATAATTTTGTGGAAATATTTGGGAAAATTTAGAAAAATTCAAATGACTCGCTCATGCCATCCATGAGTTATCCCTGAGCTTAAACAAACAGTTGGCCAACATCAGATCATGCTTTCTGGCTGTTGTGCCTCACATATGCCTCTTATTACTCATTTTCATGTGGGGTATGCTCTATCAAAAGCCCTTCACTTTGAGTTTCATATATGCCCTATGTAAAAATTCACAATTTAGCGTACAAATATCGACTATAAATCCAAGAAATAAGCAAAGAACTCACATCAAGACAATTTGTTGACTTTTAAAATCGCCTGCTTTTGGGCAACTTTTTCTCACCCCTCCCTGCCGCCCCTTCACTCTCTGCTTCTTTCGATTAGCACTTTTGTTTCGCCCTTAAGCTCTCAATTTCCGTTTACATTTCATTCGTTTCCCACTTGACATTTCCTAGTGAGTCCCCAAGGGCTTTTATTTGTTATATTTGGGCGAGTTTTTTTTTTTAGTCAGACACTTGCCCATCAACTGTAAAGTTGGTGCTCCATAAAGGGATTTCCGTTGAAGTTTCCCTTAAATGCGCTGGCAAACGAGTGCACACTCATAAATTCATAATTCAACACAAATGCGCTCACATGTTGTAAGCGAGCAACTTGAACGGAGAAAGACGTTAAATTTATGTACGCACAACTGCGCACAGATGCCGAAAAGAAGTAAAACAGCAGGAGACGAGAGCAGAACAAGGACACTTGAGTTGTTGACAAGTAGGAGCTGTGGAAATCTCGGAGCACTACCGTCTTCCATATACACACATATATATATATATATATTCATTCAAGAACACGATGACAGTACAACACGTAAAGCTAATTTTATGTTTGAAAGGCAAAACACAGATGAAAAGTGTTTTGAGTTGAGATGCTCGCTGCCTGATTGATTTACGGGCCCGCGTGTGTGTGAGCCAAACGCACATATACTATGCATATTTATTTCAAAGTCGCTGCCCTCCTGCTTTCACTCCAATTTCACTCTTCGTCTAGCATTCGGATGCATTCATTTAGACATTCGGTTCCCATTCCCAGTGAAATCGATGCCCCGAAATGCAAATAAAAAGTAAAAAGAGAAAACCCAACAAATCGAAACCCTTGGCCAATCCCAGCTCCTTTTTTAATTATTATTTACACAAATTGTTGTATTTTCTCAAGCTGCCGACAAAGATGAAAGTCGGACACATATTGGACAGGATGTGCGCTACAAGAGATTCGCCTACGACTGAAAGTTGAAATTGGAGGAGAAAGAAAACTATAAAAAAAAAAAAGAAAGTTAACAAAATATTAGAAAAATGAGCCGTAGATTCGGGCGGATTTCGTCAAATTCATTCCACTCGCAAGTGTGGAAAAACCGTGAAAAGCGGCTTGATGCAACTTATTTGTCACACTTTTTGCAAAATCCATGCCCATTTGATGAACATGAGGTTTAAATATTTGGTGGCTGATGTTTTGGCTTCAAGATACTCTACACAAGATTGTGCTTCTGTCTCCGATAGAGTTGAAGATAGAACGGGCAGCATTAAATTGTAACTGGCGGAAAAATTTAATATCTAAAGCAAGGTCGAGTAATACTCCCTAGTATATATATATATATATATATATTATTTATACATATTTCCAAATGTTAAGGGTTGTTCGAGCACATAGACAGCTCTAGAGAGGCCACAAAAAAACAATTCCAACAATTTATTATGGTGCACATATGTTTGATATGCAAAAAAAAAATCAAAATAAAATTATAATTATTATAATGCTTATAATAATCGGCCGAACTTGACAGCGCATTAATGAGATTTTCAACCCTGGTTGAAATTATAATAAATAAAATCCTGAAAAGGGGTTGCTTCTCTCTGATCATCATCAACACCAAATGCGATCATCATCATCATCATCCACATTCACATCCACATCATCATCATCATCAACAGCTTTCTTTAGTTTTTGATTATAATAATTTTTTGGATAGTGCCCAAGGCGACCGCTACTTGACTCGCTCGCATAAAGCACAGCACACAGTTAAATATCCTTCAACCTTCAAAGGATATGCACATAGAATCCTTCGCATATAGAGAGCCCAAGGCGTGTCGCGTTGACGGCGACGGCAAAGTGGGACGCAACCAAGTCAAAGCGTTCTCAACAACAAAAGCGATCCGCAGCACACACACACACACACACAAACACACGCACAACTGTTGACTCCTTTTCCAAAAAAAAAAAAAAAAAAAAAACAAGAAAATCAACCAGCGTTGTGTGATCGCATTGAAAATACCCTTACTTCGGCAATATGTGTTATGTTATGGAAAATCAAATCAAGTCAAGTCAAATTAAATTCTTCGATTTCCTTCCGAAATTGCGTTCGGTTTTCATTTCTAAAAATTCAGTTTTTCAACACTAATCAAAATGTAAATTAAATATAAAATTAAAATATAAAAAAATATATTATAAAATGTAATAAAAGGGCTTAAAAAATGGTGAAATTTCAAGACAAAATCTCAAAGAAAATTTCCAAATAAATCAATACCAAGAAAAAGGACAAAAAAATGTATTCTAATACTTTCACAGTTAATTTTCTGAGTGTAAGAAGATATAATTTTTATAATTTTCATATAATTAAATTTTGATTTAAATTTTACAGAAAAACTAATTTTCTATCGATTATTATTGAAAAATTCTTAAAAAAGAAATGTCGGCCCATTTCATTTGTTGAGCTGGAAAAAAAATAAAAGCAACGCAAGGCCTTAGTTTTCGCCCGATCTTTTCTACGACAACTATATGATATATTTGGCCGATTCTTCGGAAATTCGACGAGGAATTTTCGTCATCAAAGCTCGAATCGGCGACGAATTCATTGAAAACAATCAGAAATAGGTTTAGTCAATGTTTGACATCTGTGATGATAAAACCAAATTAGACTTTATGGTTAGGGTATACACACAAAAAAGGACCTAACCGAAAGGCCTAGCAGCAACAGCAGGGCCTGTGCCTGTGCCTGGGCCTGGGCCTGGGCTTGGGCAAAACCGGTAGAAGTCCCCATCCTTATGCTCTGGCTCTTGTGCTTTAGCTACGTAAAAGACGTTTCCTTGAACTTTTCAAGTGAACTCAAGTTTATAAATTGTGTAGCAAGTACACACACACATTCGCACACACAAGCACACGCACATACTCAGGCTGTGTTTCAGGTCTATGCTCAACTACCTGGCAAGGAGAACAACAACAACAACAACAACAACAAGAACAAAATGTAGCCTGCCCTTGGCTTAGACGATCGGTAAATGGCATAGATCACCGAATTTCCGAAATAATTCAAACTAGTTTCCATTCTTCAGAAATATTATATGTATTTTGTGCATTTTCCCACAAAGGCACAAGCACCCTAATTGGCCCAGAATTTGGCTCTGTCAATTTTAATTACAATTTATAGACCATACAAATTGCAGATCGAAGTGAACTTAACTCAAGCATCGCAATATGCTTGCTTCGTTTTTTTTTTTTTAATTAGTTCAACAATTGGCAAATGATTTCGCACCGAAGAAGACAAATGTCGGCAATGATTAAGAATTATGTGCGTCGTGCACAGCCCTGCCCAGTTAGGGGTTAGAAAGTGCATCGAGCAAAGGAGCGCAGAATCGAAGGATCCGCAACAGTTCCTCCTCCTTTCGCACGTGAAGAGGAGAATGCCAATTTTGAAGGCGACACAAGCGTAAAAGTCCCACGGAGCTGAACAAAATCTCAAACAATGGCCATGCACCTAAGTGATTAAGTGGAAAAGTTACGTCGACTTGACGTCTTCAATGGGCAGAAGGGAAAAACATTCTCCAGCCACAAAATCTCAAGTTCAGCAAGAAAATGCGCACGATGCGCTTTTTATTTGTGGGGAGAGCAAGAGGATAACAAAAGCTAAGGAAAGCTTAACTAGCACTTCCAGCAACTGGAAAAGTGTTGCTGGAAAGTAGCTTCTGGAAAGAAACTTTGGGAAGGAATTGATAGCAATATGTGAGCTCAAAGAGCTTTCATGGTAAAGATCTGCTGGACTAAAAGCTTTGAAAGGAACCTTTTGAACAGAAGCAACTGGAAGGGTGTTGCTGGAAAGTAACTTCTGGAAGAAATTGGAAGGAACACATTAACTGGAATAAAAGCTCTTAAGGAAAACTTCTGAACGGAAGCAACTGAAAGAGTGTTGCTGGAAAGTAACTGGAAGGAAACTTCTGAAAGGAATTCGATGAAGGAAATATATGAGCTCAAAGAGCTTCCATGGAAGAGATACACTGGAAGGAAAGCTCCTAAAGTAAACTTTTGATGGAGTATTTGCTAGAAAGCAACTTCTGGAAAGAAACTTCTACAACTTTCAGCTCATGCAGAGCAACCAATGGAAAGAGGTTTTTCAAACGCAGCTACTGAAAAGAAATTTATGGAAGTGCTAAAAACATATTTGAAAATCAATTCAAAATAAGTTTCAAATGAAAACCAATTCAACATAGGAACAAAAAACTAATAAAAACACAGCAAAAGAAGATTACTGGAAATATTTATTATTTGATCAATAATTGGTTATAGAATGTTTCATATCGAGAGTGTATTATTATATAAAGTGAATGCAAGAAAGTAAGGATGAAGGCAATAAAAAGAAGCGACTGAGTTTTAACTTCTAAAAACATGTAAACTTTAATTTCAAAGCTAAAAGAAGAAGAAAACTTGAAAAAGTTTTAAATTCATGTATTCAATATATAAACTGATCTGCTTGTGAATAGGTTTATATGCATATGTATATATATATATATATATATATATATATATATATATATATATATATATATATATATATATATATATATATATATATATATATATACTGGAACATAAGGTGATCTATGCGCCTGTGTGGGAACCAAGGTGCTCGGCACCTCTCTCTCTCTCTCTTTCTCCCTCCCTCCCTCTATCTCTATCCCTCTCTCGCTGTGGCCATGGAAACGAATACGTTGACCAGGGCTGACGAAGCTTAATAATGCTGTTTACATAGGCGAAGGGGCGGTATATAAACATGCACGCACACACTGAGAGGACGCGTTATGGTTATGTAAAGGCGCAAAACTTGGGCAGCAAAAACCAACCCTAAAAGACCCTAAGAGCTGGAGTTAGGAGCAGGCGCTGGCGCTCGTTGCGATCAGATGTTAGTTTTCCCAAAAGCCGAAACTGACAGACCGACTGGCTGAGGTGTGTGTGTGTGTGTGTGCGCGCGAGTGTGTGTGCGTGTGTGGATCGAGGGAATGGGCAGGGACACCCAATACCTAGGGGATGAAAAGTCATGCGTGTGTGTGCCCGTGTGTGTGTGTGTGTGCCCGTGTGTGTGTGTGTGTGTGTGTGTGTGTGTGTGTGTGTGTGAAATAAATGCCGTTTGTTGTTTTCATTTCATTATGTTTTACATAAGCGGCAGACGCAGGCGCTGCGGCAGCGCAGGATAACCGAAGGATACGTTATACATTTTTTTTTTTCTGCTGCTGCTGTTATTTTTTTTTTTTTTTCCTTTTCTGTTGTTGTTGTTGTACATTGTGTGCGCCATCAGTCAACGAAGTCATTTCCTGTTGGCAGCGCTGCCGCCGTCGCTGCCGTTGCCGCCGCTGCCAACGGCACAGAACTGACGCCCCATGACATTTCTGGCCGGGCACGCGACACAGAACGCTAGCAGCTGTCCTACCGTAAGGACCTAAACACAACGAAAGCAAGTCCAGAACAGAAGCCAAGTCCAAAGCCATAGACGAGTCAGTTGGCAAGGAGCTGTCGCCAGGCGCACAACGACGTCAAGCTAGAACATATATCTATCTATATATATATAGAGAGAGAGAGCGAGAGAGAGAGAGCGGAAGCGGAAGCGGAAGCGTGGTCCAAACTGTGGAGACTTGGACTCGGACTTGGAGAGCAGCGCCCCCCGATCAATGGCTGCACTCAGCTTCAGCCCATCGCCGCCGCCGCCCAAAAGCAACAGCAGCAGCAAGGAGAATGCCGCCAGCAATCAGCTGAAGAGCAGCGCCCGTTCATCGGGTGCAGTGACTCCATTGGGCGGCAGCAGCAGCAAGGCCTTCACCAAAATCACCGTCAACAATGTGCTCAGCGAAAGCGGCGCCAATGCGCTGCAGCAGCACATCAGCAATTCGAACACGATTATACGCAAGATCAAGGATTTCGGTATGCTCGGCGCCGCAGCGGCAGCGGCAACGGCCACGGCGGGCACGGCGTTGAGCCGCAAGCGGCCGCTGGCCGAGACCAGATGCCCAAACATTGAGAATAAACCATTCGGAGCTGTCAGCGCAGCCGGCAAACGCAGCAAGCTAACCAAAAAGCAGCCAAAGCAAAGTCAAAGCCAATGTCAAGTGGAGGAGCAGCAGCTGCCCGCGGCCAAGTGCCTGGCGGAGCTGGTGCAGCGTGCCGGCGGCACGGGTACGCCGGGACGCAAGGGTCTGCCGCTGCCGCAGGCTGTCGCCCGTCGCAATGCCCGGGAACGCAATCGGGTCAAGCAGGTGAACAACGGTTTTGCGGCGCTACGCGAACGCATACCCGACGAGATATCGGAGGCGTTTGAGGCGCAGGGCGCCGGCCGCGGCGCCAGCAAAAAGTTATCCAAAGTGGAAACACTGCGCATGGCCGTCGAATATATACGCAGTCTGGAGCGTTTATTGGGTTTCGATTTTCCGCCTCTATCTGCGGCAGCGGCGGCGGCAGCGGCAGCGGCAGCAGCGGCGGCTGGCTGCAATTCAAATAGCGAATCAAGCGGCGATGATAGCTACATGTTTATCAAGGACGAATTCGATGGCCTAGACGAGCAATTCGATGAGACGCTGAGCAACTATGAGCTCGAGGAGAGCATGTGCATGCAGGAGCAGTTGCAGTTGGAGCAGCAGCAGCAACAGTTGCCGGAGGAGCTGCTGCTGCCGAATGTGACAACGCTGAACGGTTTGCAGTATGTGAGAATAGCCGGCACGAGCACCTATCAGCTGCTAACGCCGGATATGCTGCAGCGGCAGGATAGCTCAGGTCGAGAGGATGAGCAACATTTGAATGCACTAATTGACACAAATTGCTCGAGCAACAGTCCAACAATTGCTGCTGCGGCAGCTGCATTAAGCAACGGTGAATGTGTAAAATTCGGCTCGAGTTTAACGCGAGAGCCCGTGCCAACAGCAGCAGCAACAACAACCAGTCGCAGCACATCGCCGGCAACAACAACAACAACAACAACAACACGAGGCAGTTCATCAATGCATCAACCACCAGGTGAAGACGACGCCGCTGCAGTTGCAGTTTCACCTGTCGCCGTTGCCGTTGCTAATGAACTCTTGTTGCAGGCGTGTGCCGCACAACAGCAACAGCAACAACAGCAACAACAGCAACAACAACTGATCAAACAGGAATACAGCGAGGGCGATTTTGTGCATGTCACCAGCAACAACAACAACAACAACAACAGCAGCAGCAACAACAGCAGCAACAGCTCCCCGCCAGCAATCAACCGCAGCAACAACAACAACAACAACTATCAGCAGCAACAATTGCTGTGCGCCGGCTCGTTGTTGCCGCCGTTCTATGATCAGGAAACGGCCTCGTTCTATGACAATGTTGTTGTTGGCCTGCCCAGCTTTAAAAAGGAATTCCACGATGTGCTGCAGGATCAGGCGACAAACAATGCCAGCGTCTGTCTGTCCGATGAGAGCATGATCGATGCGATTGATTGGTGGGAGGCGCATACGCCCAAATCGGATGCGGCTGCCGGCGCTGTGGCGGGCATTTAACACACACACACACACACACACACACACACAAAATGGCGTTGCCAGACTTCAGTCGGAATCAATCCCAACACCCCAAACCCCCCCCCCCCTCCACTTAACAAACACCCACCCACCTGTATATAGCTTAACTTGTAGCTTAGTTCACTTAGTGCTCAGTTCATGCAGAAACTAATCAACATTTTTTTTTGTCATCATTTTTTTTTAACCTAATTTAAGTTTAACATTTTTTTGCCTAGCCTAAGTTGGATGTTAATGCGATGTTGCATATATAAGCAAATATATATTTGAGTAAAACATGTAAAAAACTATATAAAATGAGACTTTTGTTTCTCATACAATAATGGAATTTTCATCTTCAAATCTTCAAAACCTTAATCTGATCTGATGGACAATAAGATCTTAACTTTCCTCAAGTAAAGCATCTTTATTTGTGTTCTATCTTTAATGTGAATAATATTTGCCTACGATTCCAAAGTTCCATTCTAGAAACTTGCGCAGTTTCTAAAGTTCAAGTTTGTTATCATCAGGCAAAGTTCTTCATCATCAAAGTTCTTGACTTCTTCACTTTCTGAGTAGATTCTTTGCAACCAACAAGTGCGTGAAAAGAAAAGCTCTTAAGTTTTCAGCGCTACGATCACTGATCCTTATTGAATCCTTAAGCTCCTTAGTCAAGGATCGCAAGGCAAGTGTCTAAACTTTTAGTTGTAAGATGTCTGATCTTAAAGGCTCGCTGATCCGCAAGGACGATTTGTGATCTTCGGGTAAGATCACTTATTCACTTATTTTACTCACAATCACTGATCCCCAAGAAAATTAAACTCAGTTGTGATAGGCTTAAAGCTTCTATTTCGGTTCTTTATGCAGCGCAAGTAAAAGATCTTTGGTATTGTTCAAGCTGCGATCGCTTTAAATCAGATCTTGAACTATTTTTAAACGATCTCAGCTTTGAAAACCCTTTAAACAGCACAAAGCTCGAACATTTCAAATGTACGTGCAAGAAATTAAAAATGATCTTTGCTGCGATCAGCGATCTTTGTTCTATTTCACATTTTCTATTCAGTCTGTTCTCAGTCATTTGCCAAATCGCAGTTATTTTCTATAAACGATCTCAGATGTCTCAGATCATCTTGTGCTGCCATCAGCTAACTGCAGGAGCTCTTCAGTTGCTAAACTTCACTAAAGTTTTCAATATATTCATTTAGTCAAGCTTTTCCAATAAGAAGTTGTAAGCTTCTCGCGTTCTCTTTTCACAATTTTCAAATTTTTTCGAGCACATTTTTCTTTTTAAATATTCTAACGGTTTTGAATTTACATGCAATGCTCTTAATGACAATGAAACATGCACCGTCATTAGCATTAAACACACACACACACACACACTCGCAGCATATGTGCTCTATGGGCCAAGGGTCTCTGCCATAACGTCCCGTCACAATGGACAGGGTATATATAGATACATACATATGCATATATATAACAAAAAAAAAACGGAATTAAATCAGCATATCATGTTCATTTTCATAAGCGGCGAAGCATGCAAGGACATGCGGCACACACACACACACACACACACACACACAGACAGACGCACACACACACACACGCACACTCTGCAGATATGGCAACATTTGCATAAGCGATCGTCGAGCATTTGGGTTGCTTTTTTTTTTTTGGGCCTGTGCGAGTTTCAAGCGCTCCGGTAAGGCACAGGGCACTGCGCTTGAGCGCGCCGCTTGCTTTTTATTCAAATGAGCCGCCCCCCTCTCCGCACCCCTCCCCACCCCACGCCTGCCACTATGTGGCCATGTCCTGATAAATGACAGCGTACAGAGCACACAACCGAACGTGGGAATGGGAATTGTTGCAAGTGTTTCATTTTTTGAATTTTCCATACGGTTTTTCATTTAAACATGTGGCCGCAAGAACTTTTCCATGTCCTGCATATTGATGAGCAGCAGCGCATTGAGCACAAAAACCGCAAAAGTAAAACATTTGAGTTTCGGTTTTGCGTTCAAATACGCGAGGGGTTTGTTCACAGATTCTAATCGATGATTGTTCACATTTTATTTGCCAGCTTATAGAACATTAAGGCTCAAAATTCATAAGAGAGAGAATCAACGTTAGGGGATTTCATTTTCTGGTTGAATATGTTAGAATACAGAACATTTTCGTGGTTTAGGAATTCAAGTGCCAACGAAGACAAACTATTGATAGAAAAATGATTGACAAAACAAAAAAATAGTAAATAAAATTCTATTAAAATATACGTGATGCCCGGCTTACCCGAGCAATGTATTTTTAATTAAGTTTTTTCATATTTAAGCAGATCCCAAACAAATTAGTTTTCATTTAACTATTTCATATTTAAACAAGTTTGAACTGTTTTGTAGGCTTTCGAAAGTTCTATGCATTACTTTGATGTATGAAAGATGTATTGAGAAAATAGTCAGTCAGTCAATCAAACTGTCAGTCAATCAATCTGTCCGTGATTGATAATTGAAAATAATCCTCTATGATTATCCTGAGCTTACGCAAAATTCCCAATGAAATGTAAGCCAGTCAGTCAATCATTCAATCAGTCAATCAATCAAGCAGCCAATCAATCAATCAGTCAATGATAAAACGAGATATAAATTTGGTTTAAATAATCCTCTATATTTATTCAGAGCCCACACACTCCAAAAATTCCCAGTGAAATGTAAGCTAGTCACCAATCAATCAATCAGTCAGCAATCATTCAGTCAATCAGTCAATCAATGATAAAACGACAAATATATTGGTGAAAATAATTCTCTATAATTATCCAGAATTCACGCACTTCAAAAATACCCAGCAAATTGTCAATCAGATAGTCAGTCAATCAATCAATCAGTCAATCATATACAGTGTTATTTGCCTTTAAAGCTTTAGATATTTGTGTAATTCTCTGCCTTCTAGCGAGAAATCATCTTAAGAATCGTGGAAAATAATCCGAGAACATTTGACAGAACTCGTCAAAGATGCCCAGCAAAATTCCCAAATAATTTACAGATTCTAATGGATATGCATCATTAAAATCTATTGCTAATGGCTTGGGTCTTCTGCTAAATTGTCGTCTTCACTGCGCCCGCGCAGCTGCCCTGAGCCTGGCGCTCGGGGCACAAGACAATGCCGAAATGATGCAAAATTATCAACACACACACACGCACACACAGAGAGTGGTTCCCGCTCGAGGCAGGGAAAAAGAAAATCATTAAGAAAAATAATACAAGAAAATGAAGTAACCCAAAGAGAAAAGGCAGAGGGGAGAGGGGGTAAACGGTTGTGGCATAACAATGCGGCAGTTGCATCTGCAGCGCCCGCTCTTGGACGTTTCGGGTAATACGAGCGAGCCGCAGCGCCTACAACCCCCAGGCCAGAGCCAGACGCAGGCGCAGGCGCAGGCCCAGGGCCAGGTCCACAGCCAGGCTCAGGCCAGTTCCAGGTGTGTTTGTCTAGGCGAGCGCGGCGAGCGCGCGTACCCTTGTGGGTGCATCGAGTTGAGATTTCTCCAGAGCTAACTGTTCATCTGGCAGCGCCGTTACGAGTGAAAAGCAAAATCCCTGCCTCGAGGCACCGTTATGCTTATTAATATTGCGCCAGGTAATGCGACACGCCCTTGCATATCTAGAGCTAGAGAGAGCCAGAGGGAGAGGGAGAGGGACAGAGAGAGAGCGCTCGCTCTGATTACACCTTCGATTTCTCACTCACTCATATTTCCAAATTTTCAATTCCCGTTTGCCGTAATTTTCCCGTTGCTTGTCAAAAATCAATTTGATTCCTTTTTATATTTCTTTTTTTTGTTTTCTTTTTTGGCTCCGTTTGCCGTCGTTGTTTTTTTTTTTTTTTTTGGTATGCCAAAGGCTTAGGGCAGATGAATATTCATTGTGGGTTTCCCTTTGATACCCTTTGGCTCTCCGCCTCCTTCTCCTCCTGCTCCTCCTGCACCTTGTCCTCCTCCTTCGTGTTCGACCTTCTGCCGCCGTATTTGGTTACAGAGCGCGGCTTTTGGGTTTTTTTTTTTTTTCGTGTGCTCTGCACAGTTATTTTGGGACACGCCCCCAACGCAGCGCATGTCACCCATTGAATATTGAATATTGAATATTCATTCATAAATCATTTCATGTAATAACTCATTATTCGTTTTGTGGCATGTGCGCCGACTCCAGCCGCCAGCCTCCAGTAGGTTTGAATTTGAGTCTGGTGCGGGGTCTGGACCTGGGCCTGAGTCTCATGTCGACCAGATAACGTTACCTCGCCAGGTGCTGTTCGCATTGATCCTGCCAACGTGTTCGAGCACGCGCTTTGCTTTTGCTTCGGTTAATGAGACACTTCGTTGCAAATTCCCTAAGAATACTTGTGCTTGAACTTGGAAGTGAGCTCAGGGTGGGAATTTATCGAAACGATCTGTGTCTATGTGAATTATGCATATATATATACGAACTTGGCCGATTAGAAAAATTCTTTTCGTATTTGTTAAATACGTCAACTTTTCAAAACATTAATTTATAAGCCAAATCTTTTATATCATTCTGCTAGGAGTACTTCTACTTCTACCTAAGCAGCACAGTGAAGCTTGCAACATTGTCAATACGTTTTTCATTCAAAAATCCTAGAGTTTATTATATCCGAGTTTAACTAGAGCAAGCAGCAACATTGCATTTGGCCAAGCTGCGTCTGCTGCATTCATTCATGCGAGCCTTAACCCGGCTAGCTTATGCCAAGAGTTAAGACCGAGTTAGGGTACAGATCTTGGATTTTGGGTTTTTGCGGTGTCAATTAAACGATCTCATTTGGCTTAGACATTGGCCCGACTCTAAGCCGTACGCAGTGCAGCATTCAAATAGCTTAGGCTCGTCGAGTGGCTGCACTTCAGCCGGACAATGGCAAGCACTTAAGTGTGCGCTTTGTGGCTAAGTCGTTAAGCGGCAGGTCGAGCGGCAGGTCGAGCGGGACAACGGCACAACGGGACATCGGGCCGG